CATACATTGAGATATCATCGCAATAACCTTATTATTATACATCTTTTCCTACCAAGGATACATCATGGGAAATCTAAAAAGTTTAGAACAGAATCAGCGAACTTCTTTGTATGGAGTCCGGTCAAACCCTGGTGGCAGCCATGTTTGTTTTTATTATTATGAGCATAATCATTCCATATTTGGAATTCGCATTTTCTAATATGGTAGGATGAAAATACCCAGTAAAATACCGCAAAATGATGGCACGCTATACCTTATAGTGTTACAGTGACAGATATATAATAAATTATATTATTAAGAAAATTAGTTGTATAAACATGTATAAATAAATTCTGGTTGTATTGTTGGATGCGCTAAAATTCACTCAATTACATGCAAGTGAAAATAATTGCAGGATACTGTGGCTGCACTAATTTTTCACGGGATTTCAATTTAGTAAAATCCACAAAATTAAATCCAGCTGAACATGTAAAATAAAAATAGAACTTATTGTTTCCCTGCCAAGTTTGTGAACTTAAAACGCAGTGAAATTTCTCAAAATATTAAAATAGTAAAAAAAAAATTAAATGCGAGTGAAAATAAATGGTTTTACAGTAATCCAAAACGTCAGCCATTGTACAGTCTGTAAGTGATCCAGGGAGTGGAAATTTTATGGCTGAGGTTACAGTTTGAGTAAATGTATATATACTTTAAAATACTTTATTTTCGCTTGGAATAAATTTTCACTATTTTCGCTGAAAGAGTGATTCAGTGAAAATAAAATCCAGCGAAAATACCTTTTTCCTATATTCTACATTCAACTCGCCAAAAATCAGTGAAAATAAATTCCATACGAAATACCCAAAAAGTCTTTTCAGCGAAAATTAATTCCAGCTAAAATAAATTATTTCACAGTATATTGGTTGCAAGGATGTCACAGCAAGGGGGGGTATAGAAACAGTAAAGTCTGGCAGTCATGTAATATAATAATCCAATATACAACTGGGCATGAAAAAGTGGAATATTTAATTAAATTGTTTGACCAATTAAATTCAATACCTCTGGCGTGATAAGATTAGGTTTGTTCCCTCTAGGTATATTGGAGATTGTTCATGATGCATTCTAAGAATCGCTTTATATGGGTTTTGCATATATACCCAAATTGTGCTTCACAGTGTTTTGACGTTATTTAACAGGGTCATATCGAGGAAACAACTGATCTTGAAAATGTAAATCTTGTTTGCCATATTGTACCGTATATTCATATTCATTATAAACAGGTTATAGTTACGCGGTGAGTTGACTGAGATGCAGCGTTCTGCACTATACCTTAAATAGTTGCGGTATACCCTGTTTGAAACTAAATATGATTTTACCATGCATAATGAGTGACACCAATTAATTAGTTAATTAAAAGACCAACATTTCATACCAATTATATATTTGATTATAATCCTTTACTTCACAAGTGTTTTTTTTTTGGTAACTGTAATTCAGTTTGTTTCTTGATTTACTGATAAGCAATATCTCTCTTTAAAGTCAGTTGTATTATCGGCAAAATTTAGTTTGAAGTCTTTGATGAGGCCAGTTATATGTGCGATACAATAAATGTAATAGTTACGATATTCGCAAGATATTTATGTCTGAATTTTCTTGCTGAACATCACAGAGAAGTGTGTTTCTAACGAAGCAAATATGATATGATTAAATTATTTAACAGTCACACAAGTTTTATAAAATACAATAATTGCCAGTATGGTTGGTAGAGAAAGTTTGCACGGAATACCCACTGGGTGTGGTCCTATATAAGGTCAAGGTAGAACTCCTCACACCACAAAGGCCAAAAAAAATAAATAACATTAAAACCAAAAAATAGAGTAGCTAGGCTTCTGCTAACCCTTGCTAATCACCAATGGCAAATTTCATTTTGATTTGGCTGCAAAAAAACAGTGTAACTTTTGCCACTGATGGCTGACAGTAATTTTTTTTTTCAAATCATAATTTATATATTGTATAAAAATTGTCAAAAAGCATCTTGTTACCCACAGGAATGTGAATTAAACACCAGGAAACCATATTGCTTGATATAAAGGAACACAGCACTACATTATTTAGAAGTTTGAAATGGCTAATAAAAATGTACAGATAGTGTTAGCTAATATGGTTAAAACAATTTTATCCTCATTAGAAGTTTAGTTTTTTTTTTAATTTTATTTTAATTATTCTGTAACACTGTGGCGGATTTGGTCCATACAAAAACATACTTTTTTTACCATTTTTATAAACTTAGATAATGTATATATAAGGCAGCATTTAAAATTTGTCCAGCATATATTTCAAAATCTAGTCCAGAAGCTTTCTTCTTTCTAGTTGCACACACAGAAAGATACAAGGGCAGGCATGCAAAATCTAGGCAAAGGTTGGGTTACCGGAAACAACACCTAAAGCCAATACTTCCTGTGTATATAAGCTCCAAATACAATATTAAACTGTTTATTTTGTAGAAGCCTACTCACGTAAATGAAAATGCCGGCACCCGGAATTAGTTCATTGTATTTCTGGTCAAAATATGGGTGTAATAAATTACTGGGATCACTAGTCTATTTACCGGGTATTCGGGAAAATAATACATGGTTAATTTTGCATATTTTTGCAAATTTTTCGAGTCAGTGAAAATTGGGAAATTTTGTAGCACACCGAGTCTCAGTAATTTTCACAAAATTTTTCCTTCACAAATGCCATCAAATCTTGATATTGAAAAAATTTCCAGCAGTGAAAATTAAGCGGTTTACAGTAATAGTTAATGGCAGCCTTTTGGATTGCTTTGTTTAATTAGTTCCTATCTTGCTTTAATATTGTGTTTTATAAAACTGTTCTATTTGCCAATTTTCTGAAAATACAGTACAGCTACTCACAACAATGTGCTATTCCATGTTACCATGTAGTACAAAAAAAGTACAAAATATGAGTAAACCCATTTAAAATGATAAGGAATGTAACTCTGAATTGGGCCAACCTACATACCAAAATAAATTTACCTGGAAACTCAACTATCTATGCATACCAAAATAAGTAAATAAAAATGACTGCAACTATTTTAACCATTTCTCTTTGTAAATACTAATTATTTCATGTGTTTTGGTGATTTTCCTTAATTGATATTACCATTTTTTTAATTTTTTTTTAGAAATTGATACATCAGCTCATGAAGGAATATGTCTACTATAACAGTTGTTACGGACACGTGATGTCACCTACTTAGATGGGTGTCTCCCAGTGTCTGTTTATGGGTGGACACAATTACCACAGGTGAATCATCACATGTGATCTGCATGCTCAGAGAATCATATTTCATTAGTTCATCTGTGTATTGGGGAATTTCCCAGGAAAGAACACAGTGTCTATTTCTGAACATGACTAGTACTTTCAGAAGTTCGATTCTTACTCTAAATAAATCTTTAAAAGGAATTTGGTCATGCTAATATATTAAATCCGACATAATTAATGTTAAAAAAAATGATGATTATGATAAACCAAGGTTTCTTTCTCTGCAATCATGGAATGTGTAATGACACACTTTCTAACAATTACAAAAACGTGAGTTAATATTCATCGTCTAATTAAACAGCAAGGGGTTTCCCTGTTATTGGTATTGCGCCATAACGAAATGGATATACGATCGACTCGAAGTGACATGATCTTGATGCGTTGTCATGTGGCATTGTCATGCAAACCTACCTTGAATTACTGAATACCAGTCCAGTTGACGCTTTCAGTTGTCCTTGATATCCTCCTGCATGGGATCGAGTTGGAAATGTTCAATGGATGCGCGCTCGGCCTCAGTATACGAGTGTCCACACCTCTTCCTGTGTGACAGCTAGCGAAGTCGCACACGCTGACACAAACTAACATTTCTCGTCCTTGCTGCACATGAATAACATATATCTGTACAGACCGTGGAATACGTGGTTATGATGATGACACGATTGTGGTTCATTCGCTGGTAAAAATAGACGTGAGTCAAACACCATCACACAGGAATGGAGAAACTGAGAAACAGTCAAGTTCCTGCGTTAACGCATGCGCATCAAACTATAACCCATGACCTTACGCCCGAAGCGTGTTTCAGCAAGCTCAATGCATTCTGCTGTGGTTGCATTTTCTTGTCTTCTTGATGTAGTATATCTTGCGTTACGAAGACGAATGTGTATCGGTCAGCCTGAGTGCTCACATACGAAACACTATACCGTGGGAGAAGTAAAGAGGAAACGAACTAGAAAGATAGTTGCCAAGCAACAGGTTACTTCGGGATAAACGATGCGGTCCAAACGTGGGAAGCGAAGCGCAAGTTCAAAATCGACCTCAACACCTGCAAAAATACCAAAGACAACAGTCAGCGAAAATAAAAACGAGACCACTGAAACGAAACTCGCTGTTAAAAGCACAGATTCCAGGTTGATGAAAGAATATTATAAAAAGTCGTGCGTTGATTTAGCTCGAGATTTACTGGGTAAAATCTTAGTGAGAAAAACAGAAGATGGAGAGAGACTGGCTGGCAAGATTGTTGAGACAGAGGCTTACCTAGGAGGTGAAGATAAAGGTGCCCATTCTTATGGTGGTAAGAAAACAGAGAAGAATGCTGCAATGTTTATGGATCCTGGCACTTGTTATGTTTATTATGTGTATGGATTGTATTCATGTGTAAATATATCCAGTCAAGGTAATAGATATCATTCTGATTTAAAAACAAGATTCTTTTTTTGTGTATTTTTTTTTTTATAATTTCTTCACTGCTCTTTTGTTTTCAATTTTGCAGTTATCACAACAGGTCACAATTTTTTTTAGAATTTTATAAAATAAGACTGAATAAAAAAAAAAAGTGAAAACTAAAATATATATGAAAAAACATGGAGTAGAGGGTTTTTTCTTTGAAAATATCAACTTTTATTTACTTTTTTTCTACATTCTCTTTTAAGATGTATATGGCATGCATTCAACTAGAAAAAACAATTGTAGCGATGGTTTAAGAGGGTAATATATTTTGATTAAATCTGAGATACAGTGTGTTTTATGTTTTTTGTGATTAGAAAATACAACACAACTCTCCCTGTTTGTGAACTCTGACATGGGTATCATATTTCTAGCTGCAGCATGTATCTTTTATTTATTATAATGCCAAAAAACAAATTAATATTATATAATCATTAGTGGATATAATGTTATGGATTTGCAAGTGTTACCATTTTTACCTATTGTTCTATTAATTATGGGCAATAACTAATGATCATGATTTGTTTTCACAGGAGAAGGTGCAGCAGTCTTGATCCGGGCATTAGATCCGGTAAATGGACTGGCAGCGATGCATATCTCGAGATCACAGAAAAGGAAAAAAGAAAGTAAACCGTTCAAAGACCACGAACTCTGCAACGGACCGTCTAAATTATGCCAGGCTATGAGAATCGATAAGAAAAACTTTAATTGTAAAGATTTGACAACGATTGATGAGATGTGGGTTGAAAAGGGTGTAGATGTTGACGCATCTGAAATCATTGAATGTCCCAGAATAGGTATAGATTATGCCAAAGAATGGGCCACCAAACCACTCAGATTTTATATCAAAGGGAATAAGAACGTAAGTGTGAAGAATAAAGAAGTTGAGAAAGGCAATTAGAATCACATCTTCAATAGAAGTGCAGTTATTGTATACTGGATTATTGAAATATGACTTATTATGACCATAGACTCACCTTTACCATTTACATAAGCATATGCATTAATATTAAATAAAGCAAAAAAGGGTATCTATTGCAGAGCTCTATTGGAAGTGCATCCCCAATAGGAGCACATGTAAACCACTAGTTGCATTTATTGTGTACTGAATTATTAAAATTATTATAATATTTTGTGAGGCATATTTATTCCAAATGGAATGGTTATTTTAACGTAATTGATATAGATATAGTTTTTGTATAAAGTTAACAAAATATATTTTTTTATTTTTGTTAGATACAAATATGGTATTATTTATTTTTTATTTGTATATAGTGTTATAATTTTTTGTTTTTTAAATGCAAATTGGAAAGTGTGAACAAATTCTAAATATAATTATTAAATAGACATTGATTAAAAAATAATAATAATAATAATAATAATATTTCCACTGAAATAATTGATTTATGTGCCAAATTACATGAATTTGATGATAGAGTACTGTAAAAGGATTAATTATTCACTGGGTTTTAATTTTGCTTATTTCGCTGACAGGAAAATGCGCTAAATTAAAACCCAGTGAATATGTAAAATTTAGCACAGAACACATTATCTAAATGATAAAACTGTGAATTTAAAACCCACTGAATATGCCTGAAATGGTAAATCAGCGAAATTTAAACCCAGTGAAAATTAATCATTTTACAGTATATTGGTAATATTTCCTGTGAAGAAGATTATCTAGATAAAAGATGTTTCTCTAAGATGTCACACTACTC